TGGAGACAATGGCAAAAACTCTCTCCCGCTGCTAGCAACAGTTGGATAAGGTACCTTCACAGAGAATGGCGGCAGTTCTATGGTTAGTCTCACTAGTAGCAACCCCCTCAACAGTGTGGCTGTCAGAGAGGGGTGTGCTAGTGGATAAGACCTGTAAAAGATGCCAATGGGCATATGAATCTACAGTCCACTTATGGTGGGACTGTCCTGCTTCGGCTCTAGTTTGGAAGTGGTTCACGAAGCACTGGGACACGATTTTTGACAAGGTGATGAGCTGGGACAAGGAGTGGGTCCTGCTGGGAGGAGTCCCGAAAAATCTGAGATTGGATGTCGGTTGGGGATACGTTGCGCAGACAATCAGGGCAATAGGATTTTGGATAATCTGGCAAGGGAGAAACAGGAAGGCATTCAAAGAAGAGGAGATGTCAGACAAAGAGTTGGTCAGATCTGTTAAGGCTCACATTCGTATGGCAATCCAAGCAGATTGGAAGAGAAAAATGGGAAAATCAGTAGACAGAGAGAAGGGCCTCCGCTGGTTCATGGAGACATGGGCCAAAAGAGGAACACTGGTGACTGTGGAAGAAGGGAAACGTCTGAGTTTCTCATCCTGGTTGCATAACTGAGGAAGCCTTACCCCTCAGTACTAGGGCAGAGAGGTCAGGTAGGTACAGGGGAGACAAGTACTTTAAACTCGCAGAAGGCTAGGAAGATTGGTTAACATGATAAAGTAGAACCAACCAGGCGCACTCGCTTGTTTAGTTCCGCAGTAGGAAGAAAGTGGGATTGGAGGCTTGGAGAGTGTTCCGCTGTAGGCGGACTAAGATCCACCTTGACGAATTAGCCAAGGCTCAGAGGGGGTCTTACCCCAATTAGGAATAAGTTAGTATAGATTCGCCTTGTTTATGTTTCCTCCTTTAATTTCCTTTTTATTTGGTTTCCTTATTTTTGGTATGCCTGCCTATGATTTAAGTACGTTTTCTTCAGGTTCGGCCCGCCGGACCCTTTGTTTTATAAGGCTCCGCCATTTGTTTTATAAGGCTCCGCCAAGTGTTGTTGGGTTCAAAACCCACAAACTATACTGGGCAACGGTCCCAGATGCGATGTGTTCATTCCGGGTTGTTTGTGACGAATTCCTGGCCTCATGCTTCATGATAATGGATTCCTTACTTTTTCCCCAAAAAAAAAAAAGAAAAAAAAGAACAAAACAACACCCTCTCTCGTCCCCTCCCCTCCCGATCCCCACCTGTTATTTCCTTCACCCTTCCTCCGAAAAAGGAAACACCGAACTACCACCACACCGCGGCAATGGCCTTCACAGCGTGCAATAGGTCGCCCACTCCGCAAATAGAAACTGAAAACAACAAAAGACAACAAAAAACAAAAAACAAACAAACAAAAAAAATCGGACTAAAAGCAGCCTTTTGGCTGCGAACATGAAACGACGAAAATGGAACCCACACAAGTGCAGCCTCCTGGCTGCGAACTACAAAGGGCCCAGGCCCTCAGCTGTACACATGGGCCTGGCCGCAGACACTGGGGGCCGACCAGAAGCTACTCGAAACGTCCACGGCTAGGCCCAGAGACTGCCGCAGCAGCAATCTCTCCCATTCAGGGAGGAGGCCAGCCAGACCAGGGCATTCTGGCCTAGCCAGGCAATGCGGACACGCTGCTGCCATTGCGCGCTGCTGCGAGCAAGTGTCTGCATGCTGCTGGCTGGGGCTAGCGGGTGCTGCAGGGGGGAGGGGGGCTAGCGGCCATAGCGGGGCTGCAGGGCGCGAGGGGGTGATGAGGGGCGGTGTTCTTCAGGAGGGAGGCGCAGTGTAGGCGGACAAGGGTGACCAGGGGAGACGAGAATACGTACCTCGTGTATGTGGGAGGTAGGCATTGGTGTTGACCTCATGTACAGTGGTCTTCGAAGTCGAAGTGAGCCTGTTCAGGTAGGATAGTAAAATAGGCTGGGCGCTGGGAGCCAGACAGTAGGAGCGACATGGAATACTGCGTCGGTGTGGCCTGAGGGCTTCGCGAGTTCATTGTATCGCTCTTATTTGGATGGAATCTTTCTTGGTGCATTTGAGCTCTCTGCTTGTTACATGACTATCTGGACTTGCTGCGTGATTTTGCAACTTGATTTCTGTATATCGCTCTCGCTCATATTCCTTGCACTTCCAAAATCTTCCTAAAAGTCTTTTTTGTTTTTTGGCTTCAAAAAATTGGACCATATCTCGATCTATGTGTGTCACATCCTTGCGCAGGGGCCATTTGCTATTACCGTTCTCTGTATCGTTCCAATTTTAGCGGATGTCCCGAAGGACGTCCCAAAAATCTTCAAAAACCCTCAGAACCCTTCAAACGTCTTCTCAAAAATCTTCCCCCAAAAAATCTTTATGCCTCCGCCTAGAGGAGAAAAGTGAAAAAAAAGTAAAATAAAAACACAAATAAAAATAAAGGAGGATATGACAGCGGCGAACTTCGGAGTGGATGAGAAGGGTCCTCGCTCCACTACGCCCCACATGCATAAAAGACAAACAATATGGCGGTGTATCTTCCCGTGTTTTAACGGAAGATCCATATTGTGGAGCGAGGCCCAAGCTTTCGGGTTTAGACCATCGATTGAAAAAATGCAATCAAGCAGTTACCGGGAAAAATAAAAGAAAAGGAAAAAAAAAGAAATAAAAAGAACAAAGGAAAAAAAAGAACAAAGAAAAGGATAACAAAAGAAAAAAAGGGGAACAAACAAAGAAGAAAAAGAACAAAGAACAAACAAAGAAGAAAAAGAACAAAGAACAAACAAAGAAGAAAACGAACAAAGGGAAAAAAATAACGAACAAAAAAAAAACAAAAAACAAAGAAAAGAAAAGAAAAGAATAGAAAAAAAAAGAACAAAGGAAAAAAAGAAGACTTTGGATTCCTGCGCCAAAATCCTTCTCCGTGTGCGCTTGGAGGTACTGTGGGTAAGCAGGAGGAGGATGGAGGGGAGGGGAGGGGAGGGGGAGGAGGAGGACGAGGAGGAGGAGGAGGAGGAGGAGCCGGAGGAGGAGATGGCTGAAAGATACAGGAGGAGGAAGATATTTTTTTCTTTTTTCGTTTTTTTCAGAAGAGAAGAAAATTGAATACGTGGGAGAGTAAGGTTGAAAAAAAAAAAAAAAAACACAAGATTAGCTTGCAAGTTGAAGACAGGAAGAGGGTGGAGGATGGACGATTAGGGGACTCAAATAGCGGCATGGGAAACGACGAGCTGGAGCATAGGAGGAGATCAGGGAGTCGAAAGGATAGGGAGCAAAAAAGGGACGAGGGAAAGAAGGAAGGAGGCCAAAGAGGCAGGAGCAAGAAGAGGGAGAGAGAGAGGAGGCAAAAGAGGAAGGAGAAGAGAGAG